AGTGATAATTAGGTTTTAGGACAAAAAGTATTATCAGTGATAAAAAGGGACTTTCATAGTGAAATCAGAAGATTCACCAGGAAGGTACAAGATTTAATTTGTGCCTAATAATATAGCTTCAAAAATAGATAAAAATCAACAGAACACACAATCACTGAGAGATTTTTACATTCCTCTTTCACTTATCAATACAGCAGGGGAAAAATCAGTAAAAACTAACACAATTTTAATCTTTAGAGAAAACCTATATAGAAGATAGACTTTGAATAAAAGAGCCTTAGGTCTTACGGATTAGACCTAAAGTGGACAATGAGACCAAACCCAAGTCTCCCAAGTATCATGTGTTCACAAGTGGGACTTTCCAAAGATGATTGGACCACAAGGGCTCCAACTCTATCAGTAGATAAATTCATTGATGAGATCATAAATGATGGCACTACTGGGAGACAATGGAAATTTATGTATGTATGTATGTATATTTTCTTTGAGCCAGGGTCTCACTATGCAGTTTAGGCTGGCTTTGAGCTCACTTTGAGCCCAGGCTGGTCTTGAACTCATGATCCTCTTCCCTCAGCTGCCCGAGTGCTGGGATTACCGGTGTACATCCAGCTTGGAAATTTATTATTCATTATTATTTGTCCAAGTCTATTTTATTTCAAAGAGAAAAAAAAATTTCAAAAGAGTAATTAGGGGTTTCATCTCTCTGATTCCTGGGTGTCATTATTCTTCAGCCAAATTCTTTCGCTATAATGTTACTGCTTTACTACAGGCCTAGAAACAATGGAACCAAGTAAGCATGCACTGAAATTAAGCCAAGATAAAATATTTTCTCTTTTAAATTGTGAGTTATTTTGCCACAGGAATGAAAAGCTGTGTTAGTCATTTCTCTCCTTGCTGAGACACAACACCTACCAGATACCATAACTTACAAGGTTTACCTTGGGTCACATTTACAGTCCTTGGTCTGCTGATTCCAAGCAGAAAAGGCATGGTAGAAGGGCCTGGCACAGAAAAGCTGCTCACATCATGGTAGCTGGAAGGCGACAGGAGCCAGGGAGGAAGATACAGTGTTTCAGACCCCACCCCAGTTCCTCACTTCTGAATTGCCCTACTCCCTAACAGCATATTTAGCTGTAGCGCCCCTCATGAGCCAGTTGCTATCCGGAGCCTAACCTCTGCAAGGCATTAGAGAACTGGGAGGTGATTATTAGTCTAAACCATAACACTAACACACTATGTGTAGAAAAGTGGATAAATTCAACTAGGAAATACATGTAGAAAAGAATCAGTAATAGAAAACTAAAAGCCACCATCTTTTAAAATATAGGCAAAAGAAGCAGCTAAGGACAGTAAGGAGAAATATCAGAAGTACCTGAAACTTGGGTAAGCAAGGACCCTGTTAGGGTCTCTATGCTTCAGGGAACCCTGTGCTATGAAATGCCTTCCTCAACATAGTTTAAAGCTTCTTTCAGTCTCTGGGATTAAGCAAGGCCAGTCCTAGTCCCTTGGGAAGGAAATCAGATGCTGGGCTGGAAATAGTTCTCTTGAAGTTTTCTAAATCTCATTTTTTCCTGAGACAAGCGTATTTTCTCCCATTTGAGGCATTCTCCAAACTCTTAGTATGTACTATCATCCTTAGCATGTACTAAATGCCCTTACAAGTATTGGAACTTGTGCCTATGAAATCACCCTGGGCCTAAGATCATTCCCATTGGCTGAAGAACTTTTTTTTTTCATGATATAGTATAAGACACGACTATCAGAATGATGTGATCCATTTTGAATAAGTTTCTGGCCATCAGACTATCAAAGGCTACTACAGACCCTTGGGATTAAATTGCATATCAAAGCTTAAGCATGGGGTCTCAGATGTGAGAGTACAGTGACAGGTCTGTATCTGTTTCCTGCCACTGAAACCAGAGGTCACCCTGTGGGTCTATGCAAGTTCTACATCTTGTTAAATCATTCCTGTCTTCTTTGGGCCTTTCAAGACTGATGTTTCACAATAACAATAGGTCTCTCTAATCATGTACTCTCATTTCCAATTAATGACACTGTGTTCTACAAGTCTGGGCTTAAGTCATGTTAATGGAATAAAGGATATTCCTTACACAAATGAAACCTCTCTTGGCTCCACCCATGGGCATCCACTCTATCCTTCCCAGGTGTGGCCAGCACTGAAATAGATCAGTTACTAGGAATGTAATTAAAGCATAAGAGATTTCAAGAAGACATGAATGAAATATATGTTAAATGTTTATGCTATAATAGTCCAGACATTAATATAAAACCAGAAAAATGAATAATAGGGGCTGGGGATTTAGCTCAGCGGCATAAGTGCCTGCCTTGTAAGCAAGCAGTCGTGAGTTCAATCCCTGGTACCGATAAAAACGAAAAAGACAAAAAAAAAAAAAAAAAATGAATAATAGTTCATACTCTGGGTAGGATTTCAGCTTTTGTAATCAGTAAAATACAGTTAATAAACTTTGAGACATACAAAACAGCAGTCCTAGTGGCACAACAGATACAGCATCATGAATACTGCAGCATTAAATAAAATTGCATTATGGAATTGCATAGATTAAGACTATATAGGTCAATATAAATAGATTACTAATGACATTTGCTGATCTTTTATTGCAGGGGGAGATAGGGAAGTTTGCTAGAAATAGTACTATTTTCAATTCCTTGAGATGATGCCTGTTTATATTCATGTACCTTTTTTTAATCCATTACACTAAATCTTCATTGATAAACTACTTCACACAGCCTCACGAATTATGTAGTGTATTTCTAACTAAACTTTCTTACAGAAGGGCTCTGCAAAATATTTGCCCTACCGGTAGACTTATCAAAGAGAAAAAAGTAGGAGAAAGCAGAAACAATGAGAGGTCATGTCTTAGAAAAAGGGATTTCAGAGCTCTAATAAAAATAAGGAGTCCATTGGATGTAAGGGTAGAAAACCGCTGACCCTATGATCACTTGAGATAGGGAAGGGGGCTGACGAATTGCAGCATGGTGAAATAGTGAATGGTGTGAAAACTTTTATTTTTAAGAAGAGCCTGGCTACAAACAAGTAGGGTGGTAACAAGGAGTATTAGTACAGTACTATTACTATTATCCAAAATAGTAATAGTTTCAACTAACTACAGATCATCAGAAAATTACTGGGTCCATAATGGGAGAGAAGGAAAAGGAAATTCATTTGCTACCACAGGTAGGTGACTATAATAGTTTTTACTTTTGTAAAGAAAATCTTTACAATGGATATCTGGCAGGCAACATCTTAACAATTTAACTTAGCATCACCAAGAGTGAAATACTGTATCTCCTAAATGATACAATATGAATTATATAATACAAGGAATGAAACAGTTCTATCAAAACCCTGAATCAAAAAAAAATTTTTAGATCTGACTTACAGGAAATACTGGCAGACAAAGGGAAAGGGTACTAATAGTAAAAAGTAAACATACCATTCTAGAACATAGGACTTTTTACAAAAAGAGACAGAAGAAAAAAAAACCCCAAACCAAACCAAACCAAACCCAAATCCCAACATCATGGATAAACCTTAATGAAATCAGTTAGATAACAATTATAATTTAGGTACAAGGGGAAAAACTTGAATATCAGGTATTAAAACATACTGAGGAATTACTGTAATTTTTCGTTATTGTGATGATGCCACTGTGCTAATGTGAAAAGTAGTCTGTCTTTTAAGGAGATTCCTGCAGTAACTTAGGGCTGAAATATTCTATTTGCAGATTACCTTTAAATGGTTCAACAAAACCAAAAATATGCCTACATAGAAAATAGGCAATAGAAAATGCAAAAGGCAAAATGTTAAAAATGATTGAATCTAGGTGGTGTGATTAAATACTATATCTTTTTTTGTCTTTTTGAGACAGGGTTTCACTATGCAGTTCAGGCTGGCCTTGAGCTCACTTTGTAGCCCAGGCTGGTCTCGAGCTCGCAATGATCCTCCTGCCTCAGCCTCCCGAGTGCTGGGATTACAGGTGTTAGCCACCACACCTGACTCATTGTATTATTTTTTAAAATTTTTAGTTTACAAATTATTAAAACAAAGTTAGGGAAGGAGAAAGGTCCAGCAGAACAAAGTCAAAACATGAGGGAAGATATGAGGAGAAAGTACAGATATAAATGAGATATGAGGTGTGGGAAATTGAGGGAATATCAAAAATCTCAATATTCTCTATGAAGTGAGGCGAGGGCAGCAATAGGTTGATGGCAAGAACAAGTGAAGATGTGGAATACGTGCCATGAGGAATGGAAAAGAAAGCTGACAGAGGATATGTAGGAGCCACAGGGTACACTGCTGTTCCCGCCTGAGGGCTTAGAAACTGCTCATTTGGCTCTTATTAGCACTCCCAGCTTATCTACTCTTAGACCATACTGGATTCCAACCAGACTACCTCAGCTCTACTAGAGCTAAAGTCTGAATACAGGGTGCTTGACTTTCATTTTTGAGTTTCTAACAAGGGCCTGAGATGTTGTATAATTTCAATAACTACCTAAATGTACATGGTGCTCATTGTAAACCTGTATCATTGCATTTTTTGTGCTCTATTGTTTGTTTATATGTCTATATTACTTAGATGAAAACCTTCTGAGATAGTGATTTTTTCGGCCTTGTATTATAAACTCAGCTAGTAGTTAGTATATTAGATACAGGGCATTTTCCTATTTGAGCTGAACAATTAAAACTTTGTATTGGTGTGTAAAGACTTTATTTCTGGATGAACTTATAATTTTAACCAAAATTTCTGAAAAGAAAAATCAACAATATTACTAAAGTACAATTAACAATGTAATATAAAATGCCCAAGTATCTTAATCACAGTATGTTGGGTAAAACAATGGGGAAAACGACTGCCTTACATTTAAAAAACTCAGTAGCACCAAGTAGAGTCCTCTTCTGTTTATTCTTAAAGTGTGCAAAATGTGAAGAACATCTTCTGTGCCATTAGAGGCAAAAGTTTTGAGATTTATCTTTATTTAAAAGTTTAGGAACTAGGCTCAGGTAAATTTTTTTTTTTATGAAAACAACTCAGGTGACCAACAATTTTTTGTTTCAGATACTGAAGGTAGATGGTTCTCTGAAAAACAATCCAATTTAAAAACTGACTCTTTAGAAATCTGGCCTGAACTTTTACAGTTATATTTAGGAGTTTTCTGTTTTGCACCTCTTCCTGTAAATATATTCTTTAACTTCTTAATGAAACATGTATGAGTTCTTTGTTTGATATGTTTCAATTTCTTTCTTGGTACCTCTTTCTGGTCAGGGGAATTACGGGCAGCAAGGCGTTTCCTTAAATCAGTGACTTGGAGTTCAAGCATATCTGAACGAAACACCTTCGTTGTGGTAGGGGGGACCAATTCATAAATACCAGTTTCAAAGCACTCAGCTATAGTACAGTGGTTGAAAGTCTCTGGTTGTGTAGGAGTAGATATAACAGGGCTTCTAGATTTCCGGCTATGCATTTTTATGTTTTGTGGACAATCTGGAAGGGCTTGCTGTTTGTCATTTTCAGGAGAAATTTGTGTTTTATTATAATTAGCATTAAGATTTGCATAAAATACCGATGAGTTTTTGAAAATTCCATATATCCCATGAGTTCTTGTATGGTGGAATCCTGTAACTGGAGTTGACTGTGAACACGGAACAAAGTCTTGACTACCTTCAAGATCACATTCCAAATCTGACTGAAAATGAGGCAGAGGAGAACATGTTTTTGGATATCCAAAGGCAGATATGCTTTGCAAGGATAATTTCTGTGAAGACTGGGTAGCATTTTCAGAATGTGATTTTAGGGAAAATCCAGACTCTTCAAGATGATTTTCTGTGAAAGATGCTTCCCACTGTAACAAAATGTCATTTGATTTCTTGGTAATTTCTGTTGTAATGTCTGTATCTTTAGCAATATCATCAAAGAGATCAGCAGAAGCATTATAGTTACTTTCATGACTAGGAGAGCTTTGTATTAAATTATTATTGACATGTCCATACGACATTTTTTTCAATATATTTGTACTAATACCTGGACTACTGCAAAGAGTTTCTAAGGGATATGTAAGTTTTCTACAAATTGTAAAACTGTCATGTTGGTTTTTTGGCCACATACAGTGTTTGTTTTCTAATTTACAAAGATCAGAAATATCATTGTATGTCTTAGAACACAGAGTTATAAACCTTTTATTTACTTCTGAAAGTGATTTGTCTCCACATGCACTAAAATATTTGATACCAAGGTAAGAATGGTCATTTTCTGAAGTACTGGACATACGTGAAATTTTATCTCTATGTGGTAGAATTTTGATAGTCTTCTTAGGAGTAACAGTTGCTTCTAAATCTTTTGAAGACAGAAACAGAGCTGATAGACAAGTGCTTGGTAGAGAATATTCTGAAACACTTCTTTTATTACTGCTTGCAGACATAGTCTCTGCTGCTCCATTACTGCTTATGTAGACAGCATCTACTGTGCTAACAGGTTGTGACTCCTGAATACCAGAACCTTGATTTGCTTCACAGTTGGAAAAGAAGTTATCTTTGGTAGACTTTGCTTTGTCTGTTGCATGTGATGGTGTTAAAGGTGCAGGTGGTGTATGTAGTGTTCCAGTAGTCCTCCAGGGAGACAGAGATAACCTGGTGTAGTCTGCACAGAATTTATCTATGTCATTATCTATATCATGTTTCCTATCCCTGCCATGTCTTGGGGTTTTCACAATCTCACTTTCGGCAGCTGCGAGAAACTTGTCTAGGCTTTCAGATAATGGAAGATCATCCCAAACGACAGGGTCAAAATCCTGGGACATGTTGGCTACCTCTTCACGTCTGAGTGATGCAGGTGAATACACAAATGTCTCTTGATGGCTACTGCTATCTACATCATGATGCTGGTAACATGGCAGCTCATCTGAGGAATACCTATTCTTAATTTCTACTGCATTGTGGAAGGATTCTATATTACTTGACTGAAGGGGCTCTTGCATTTTCAAAGGGAATAAATTAGAGTTAGTAATTCTAGTTTTGTGATGACTGCTGTGAACTATATTCAGTTGATTACCTTGTAAGCAGAGCTCTTCATTCATCTTCTCTGGTGTACTCTTACTGTCCATATATGAAAGAAGGCTCCACGAGCCCTGAATGGAATCATGGCAATCACTGGAATCAGTGATCTCTGCAAAGGACAAGCATTTTCTATTTTGGAGAAGAGTATCAATGGCCACGTTTTGTTCTGAAGCTGAAAAATCATCATTGTCTGTTAGTTGTGAAACAGCAGAGGTGAGTTCAAGTAACAGGTGCCCAAATCTTGAAACATTATCTCTTGTAGGAGACTCCAAAAAATAGGAAGTGTTCTCAGAATCATGTATGCTGCTGAGATCACTATTTGAGCAATCTAAAGAAAGTAACTGGCTACTGGGTTCCTGGGAGCCACAGTGTAGTTTCCTTAAATTGGAAGTCTGCAAAAGCTGATGGAAATAGTCAATGACAGTAAGGCCTACAAGACGTGGGTCTGGAAGAATGATCTGGCAAGCTACTAGTGCTCTGATTTCTCTTCCAAGGTCATGACACCTTTGTAAGTTGGAATCTGAACCACGTCCATATTGTTTTTCAAAATTCTGTGAAAATAAATTAATTTAAATGAGAATAACTGGGTGTTGCAAAAGTATTTTTCAGAAAAAAGAAGAAAACAAAAAAAAAAAAAAAAAAGAAAGAAAGAAAGCCAAAACTCTTAGCTTCACCTTCTCTTTAGGGTTTTTTCACTATTCCTTTGTGGAGTGATCTATTCTTTTTAAAACCCTAATTCTAGTATAGACAAACTTTCCGTTTGTCTCCTTTAATGTAAATCAGACAGTAAACTATTATTCCTTCAGAGTCAGGACCTGTTTTTAACTCTTTCTATAGTTATGTTTGCAATTATCCAAGACCTTTCCTATTAACTTATTTTTAATTTTCTCATCAATACTTAGATATCTTGCCTTTAGTGCTTATTTTCTCCTCCTCTTTTTTTTTGGCGGGGGGGGGGGGGGCTCCTTTTGAGACAAGGTTTTGGTGTGCAGTTCAGGCTGGCCTTGAGCTCACTTTGTAGCCCAGACTGTCTTGAACTTGCAACAGTCTTTTTGCTTCAGCCTCACAAGTGATAGGATTACAGGCTTGTGCCACCCACTCCTTTTTATAGATGACAGAATTAAAAACTAAACAATCAATAAAAACTTAACACATAATTTGAGTGAAATTGGGAAAGTGAAATAAAAGCACAAGATAATAGAATAGCTAAAGTAATAATAAATTTACATAAATTCCTAAATTTACATTTTAAAAATTAGCATTTTAAAATTTATAACAAATGTATATTTTTAAAGTTCTGAAAGCATTTGAGCTTAACTTTTCTGATTTTTGAAAAAGGAAATTAGAGTGATGTTTAAACATATCACCTATAATCTATTTTTATAGTTTAAAGAGCTTCTATAGGCCTTCAAATTTAACTCTTCTAAATTAACCCAAATCATTTAATTACATTGGAAATTATTAAAGCTTGGCATAGTGGCTCACAACCTATACTTATAGAACTCTGAAAAGATAAAGCAGGAGGGTCCAAGTCAACCTGAGCAACTTAGCAAGACCTAGCCTCAAAATAAAAAATTAAAAAAGAGCCAGGGATGTAGCTCAGTGTGAAGACTGGATTTAAGCCCAGTGCCACCTACTTACCCACCCACACACAAAGGTTAAGAGAACATTAAAAAGAAAGGTAACCTCAATTACCGTAACTCCAAAAATAAAGCTTTGTCCCACAAAGCAATTTTCGACTGCTTTCGTTAACAGGTCCTGTATTGTATCACTATGTAGTATTTCTGGAATTTTATTAGGATCCTGAATGTACCTTAGAGAGAAAATAAAAAATGTGAAGGGTTAAACTTTGAAAATTCAATTTGTAAAAGAGTCTGAAGACACAATTTGTTTTAAAATACAAATGAACCTTTTGAATTATGTACAGAGAAAAAGTGTTTTCATGAGCAAGGCCTGCCTGCCTGCTTTCTTCTTTTTGAGACAGGGTATGACTATGTAGTTCGGCTGCCTTAAATTCATTTTGTAGCCCAGGCTGGCCTTGAACTTGCAGTGACTCCTGCCTCAGCCTCTTAGAAAGCTAGGAGTGCTGGGATTATAGGCATACACTACCATGCCTGGCCTAAGCAAGGCATTTCATTCCCTCTAGTTTGCCATAGTAAAGAAAGACAAACATATAAAAGCAAAAATGTCACCAATCAAGTGTTAATAAAACAGATGCTTGCCTAACCATCAGGCCTGGCAATTACATTACTGAAAAACAAAAGCTGGGATAGGGAGGTGTTTTCCCCTGGCAATTGTGTCAGTGGCACCTCTAGTATCCCTTCAAATCAGTTGGTCTTCAACCACGGAAACAGAAATTCCTTCTGCCAAGTCAGTAGGGAGACAGGCAGAAAGGTGAGGAGAAAAAGCTTTACTTGTTAATATAGATCCTTACATTCTGAGGACTATGTCTCATTAACTCTAACTATGCTCATGAAGTTGCAATGCAAGTCACAAGTCAAGAATGATAAAATTTCGACTTCTAATATGCAAATATAGTGTTCCCTTAAATAGCTTCTGCTATGTAATCCCTTTAATGTTAAACCTCAATTTGGACAGTCCTTCCTTCTGAATTTACTTTGTTATCTGAATTTCTTTAAGTTGGATTGCAGATTTTTAATTTAATAGTTTAATGACAGCTTAGCTACACTGAATAAAGTAAGCCTGGTGTTATACCAACATTAAATTTATTGATGAGATAAATTTTTTTTCTCATTTGATTATTTTTTAAGGGAACTAATGATACAAGATTGAAAATTTATCTTTTTACTTAATGCCTATTACCTTAAATGCCTATTATTTAATGCCTATTACTTGCTTATCTTCAAGTTCTATTAGCATCCTAACTGAGCATTCAGGAAGAAAAATACTTTAAACACTATTACCTGTGCAAATCAGTGGCAGTAAGACCAAAAAATGCATCTAAGCAGCTTCCAAACACAGTAATGACAAATAATTTGTTTGATTCTGCAACTTTTAAGGAAAGTTTGTATCTATAACTTGTATTTTCCACTTCACCAGTACAGCCACATTTTGGACAACTAGACCTAAAAAAAAATGTAGGAAAAATTATAGAGTTGCTCATTAAAATTGCTTTTCATGTGATGAAAAACAGTAAAACTTTTAAGTAATATTTTTATATAAACACTCCTAGTAACATTTTCTTTCATATTTTTCATAAACTATTTATGATTAACTTCTTTTGAATTTGTTATGACTGGCTTTGGTGATTTAAACTACTAAATAGCACCAAACTCACAGAAATGCAACTGCAACAAAATGATGAAAAATCTGTACATGAGAAAAAGAATGAGAACATTAAAATATTTATATGTGAGGTAATTAGTTGTATTTCCTACCATTATAAAAATTATTTTAATTTGCAGGAGTATGCTAAGAATTATCAAATTACAAACAAGTTAGATAGAAAAGCCATTCAATTTAACCTGTTTCCAAGGCAATACGCAGTGTGGCCATAGGCTTTTAGGCAAAATATACACCAAGAAAAACTGTCACGTACTAGTGGATCCGGTCATGGAACATGGTCTTTTTTTGTAAAATTTAGGGCTGAGAAAGGACAAGACGTGACAAAGAGTAGATATTTTTCATAAACTATTTGCTGCAAAAATGCGTAAATCTTGCCAAGCTAATGTGTTAGCCTCCTCCTCCTTCATAATTTAGGTTTTTAACTTAGCAAATTAACTCCTAAAACATCTTATGATAATGGCTAGTACTACAATTTTGTTTCTTGTCATGTTAACAATCTGGCTTAAAAATGTAGTGGCAAGGGGCAAACAGCAGCGGTAAAGATAATTATATAAATTTGGTTGCTGCTAGATAACCACTAGGGGGAGTATTTAACCTTAGCTATCAAAGTGACTTAACTGAAGCCTTTATATAGGATATTACTAATTCACCATCATAGATTTGTGCTAATTACTACTGCCCCCCCCCACAGTGATGATGGATCTGTACTGATGCATTCATGTAATGATACTCAAAACAGTAGGCTGATCATGGAATAAAGACATTTCACTAGGAAATAAAGTAAGTTTCCTTTAGTACAAGACTCTGGTGAAACGAACTAAGGATTTAAATAGTTACTAGAACTTTTTAAAGGTTATACATTAATAATGCGTACATATATAATGTAAAATTCCTAGTAAATCTTAGAAACTTGATATTCATGAATGCTTTACTGTTTATAAGTATTTTCAGTGCATATTATTTCATTCTGTATTTTGTTCACTTACAAAGGAGGGAAACTGGCCTGAAATTTTGCACATGGAGACCAAATTTATGAATTTTATGACCTAAATTCAACCTCTGAACACTTGGCCTGAAATTCTTTTCTGTATGAGGTCTTTAACTATGAGAACAGTCTGCTAGCAATGAAATATGCTGTAAACAGGATATCAATGATAGCCAGCAAAAACTAGGTCTATTTCTGTTAATATGTACACACACTAAATTATATCTACTTTTATAAGACACATATGCCTATCCAGGATATTTCTTTACATAGTTTTAAAAATCCTTTTGGAAATCATGCTGGATTGAAATAAATGTTAGTAATGGTACAATACAGATTAGAATTTCTTAAGCTGTAATTGCATAAAATTTACCTTGGGATATTGTTAAAATTAAATCTGCATTCAGTGAGTCTGGGCCAATTCTGTATCCTCTTTCCTAATTTCTTTTTTGCATTATACGGGATTGACATAGGGCCCTCACATTGAGGTATATTACCAGTCCCTACTTATTCTTTTATGTATGTATACATGGATGTGTTTTTAAGATAAGGTCTGACAAAATCACTCAAACTGTGCTCAAGTTTGTAATCTTCCTGCATCCCAGAACTTTGTTCTACAGAAACATGCACCACAAGCCCAGCTAGGATTTAGTATTTTTAATAAGCTACAATACTAAAGCAAACGTTTCTTCTACCACACTTATAGAAAGCAAAGGTATAGACAATATATTCAAATCATGGTTCCCTGATTTAATTTCTAGAGACACCCTTATTTCCTTTTTGGGGTATACTGGGGATCGAATTCATGACCCTGCCCTTGCCAAGCAGGTGCTTATGCTGCTGTAAACTAAACCTCCAGCTTGGCGCCCTTATTTCTACACTGTCATTTATTATGCAACAACCAGTTTTTAGACTTTCTGAATTCAGGATTGTGGTGGTTAACTGACTAACTGTCAGTTTGAATGGAGAAGATATAGCCTAGCTGAATTGAGTCAGCATGATTTTGGTTGTGGAAGATTCACTTAAGGAGGCTTGTTGTGAAAATTGTATACAAGAATGGGAGGGGATTTCATGCTGATTTTCCTTGGAAGAGTTTCACTGTGGCTGATGTTCTTCCAAGGTGTTTTGGCCTTGCCCAAGGTAGGACTGTTGCCAGGTCTGGATTGTTCTCTTCAGAGGCGTTCTGGTCTTTGCCTGTATCTTGGGTGTCCTCTTTTGGCTCTCTGTGCAGACTCTTCAGCTCTCAGTACCCACTTTGCAACCTGCCAGTGCAGACTCTCTAGCCTCCAGTTCTGGCACTTGGGTTTTCTGGCACAGACCCTCTGCTCTTGCCTTGTAGATTCCTTGTGTTCCTCCTGATATGGTCTCCTAAGGACCTTACTGTACAGGACACTGCCCTGGGCTCCAGGTCTTCTGCTTGGTTCACTGCATCTCTACCATGTGGACAGGTCTCATGCTCTCTGCTATATGTAACTTCTGTGGGTGGATTCTGGCAGCTAACCTTGTAAATTTCTGTGTCCTATATCAAATATTTCTCTTGCAAATTCTGAGTACAACAAAGATTATTTATACTCTTTAAGCTTAGACTGAGCAAGTTATGGACTTAGTGACATCTTGTCTCAAAAATAAATAAATACATACATACATACAAACATACATAAATGGGTAGGGATGCAGTTCAGTGTGAATGCCCTGGGTTCAATTCCCACTCACAGTAAAAACGAAAACCACAAAAAACCCATCAAAGAACTTTTGTTTACGTGAATAATAAACATCTATATTTTAAAAATTAAAACATTTAATTGACAAAGTCTGAATATACTCAAGATAAACAATACAACTTGAAATACATACACAGCACATCATCATTCATGCTATAACATTATATCTCTGGGACTTCTTCGTCTTTTATCTGTATTTCTAATAGACTAGGTTAAAATAAAACAGAAAATTAAAACAACACTGAGATTATATCTCATTCCAGAAAGAATGACTATCGTCAAGAAATCAACCAATAACCAAAGGAAACTTTCTCTATTGTTGTTGGTAGTGCAGACTGGTATAACCACTGTGGAAATCAACATGGAGATTCCTCAAAAAACTAAATTAGCTATTCTCTTTCTAGGTATCTTCTAAAGAGTTAAAGTCATCACACCCCAGTGATGTATGCATACCCATGCTTATTGCAGCACAATTTATAATAGCTGTATCTTGGATACAGCCTATATGCCCACCAATAGATGGAAAATGATTTTTATGTATAATGCTATACAACTCTATTGGTGTCATAGAGCATGCACTCTATGGTGCCACAGAGGGTGAACCTGAAACATTTTTAGGTAAATGGATGCATCTCAAGACCATAATCTTAAGTGAAATAAATCAGATACACAAGTTTAAATATTGCATTACATTTTTTGTATAAGAAACCTGAAGTGGAAATAAGGAGCAAAATGAATGAAAAGCCAGACATGGTAGCACATGCGTATAATTCCAGCACTTGGGAGGCAGAGGGAGGAGGATCACTGCAAACTGGAGGCCAGCCAGGGCTACAAAGTGAGTTCAAAGCTAGCCTGAACTGTACTAAAATTCTGTCTCAAAAAAAAAGCATGGATATTAGGAATAGAAAAACTTGCACAAATGGGAAGAGAAATAAGGGATTAGGGGAGGGGAAAGAGAAGGGAGGAAAAGGGATTTAAAAAAAAAGAGAACCTAAGGAAAAACCACAAACAGCTTTTGTAAATGAAAAGGGAAAGAAGCAATGAAGGGAGGGGAGGAGAATGGGAAGAAAAAGACTTAAGATATATTATATACAGATACAAATTCCCCATGTGAATGGGATCATCATGTATGGCAAAACATGCACTAGTAAAAAGAAAAAAAGCAGAAAAACCTATAAAACATTAATTCATTAAAATAATAGACCCAGCATATGGTTAAAAAATTCAGTAAAACTTTGGTTTGTGCACATAATTCACTCCATTTATAATTCAAAGCACTTTCATAATCAAAGTGAATTTTCTTATAAAATAAAAGAAACTTGGATGACTTATTCCACAGCCCAAACATACTCATATAAAAATGATTACAATACTCTAATACAATATAAGATAATGAAGAAAATACAAAATACAAAGAAAAGCAAATTAACTTGCATTTACCTTTGAAAACTCTTGTGGTTGGTGTGAGGGAGATGAGAGAAGGATGACTTGCACTATCTCTGACTATTGGCACAATGGAATTCTTTCCTTTCATACAGTTTTAACAAGGAACCTATGCAGTGACACTTGGTTTTCCTGCCCTTTGAGGATTTCATAGAAATGTGACACTGCATTGTCCTTAAACAGATTCATCCTATGCACTGCTACAGCCTTATCCTGTTCCTGTTTTTCTACAAAATTTGTCAGTTTCTCACATTTTACAAATCTCTGTAATCTCATTTGAAGTGAGGGATTCTATTATCCTTTTCTCACCCTCTCTGAAGATAAGATCTCCTCCATAACCTCTTGCTGTTGGGAGACAACTGCCCACAATTTCACAGAGAGAAAGGGAGAAAGGGTGAAAGGAAGAAGAGAGGGAGGGAGAGAAGGAAAGGGAGAGGGAATGGGGGGAGACAGAGAGGGAGGAAGGAAGGGAGAAGGGAGACAGAACTATTGGCTCAATTGTGCATACATGACATTTGGCATCTTAAACTACTTGTATTGCAAGACACTGCTTGTTCATCAAATTAAATTTTATTAGAAATATGTGCTCTTCTTGTGGAATAAGTTATTTGTATGCCAAGATTTTCTTTTA